TAGTCTTATAAAATTTACATCATTATCACTTTGGTATTTAAAGATTTTTTTATTTAATTTTGACCTTTATTTTTTCATAAGTATGTTATCCATTTCGTTCTTTAATTATAAAAAGTCACGTGATATTCTAATAATATATCACATGACACGTAATATTTGGATTAAAAATAAGAAAGAAAAGTAAAAGAAAAAATTGAAAACATACTTTTTCAACTTTTAAAGGCTTTTACAAAAGAAAATTTGTTAGATTTGTATAATGTTTGACTTTGTTGATTTTTTCTGTTTGAATTTCTGCTTCAAGACACTTCTGTGTCTTCATGTTATAGCATTGAATAATCGTGTTTTATAAAAATATAATGTGGTTATTGTTTTATTTGTTTTTCAATTTGGTGATGTAAGTTAATATTTTTTTAATTTGAGTTTAAGTAATTATATCGTTATATATATATATTAATGATTAAAAAAATTAAAAAAATATTATTTTATAATCATTTCCGGCTATTTAAAATAAAATTTAAGTATTTTTTTACGGTGATACATTCATTTTCAAGTTACTGGATCATTTTTAAAGGTGTAACAAGTTAGAACATTATTTTTTATTGCATTTAAAACATTTAAAATTATTTTTATTTAACGGGCCGAGGGTAAGCCTGCGAGTTAAATGGACGGGCCGTGGGCCTTATAATTCAAACTCGTTTATAATTGCGGGCTTTTTAAACCACTCCGTTTAAGCCCGCACCGTCAAAACCCGCGGGCTAAACGGATGGGTAGCCCGTATACCCACCTCCACATCTACCACCAATAAGTATGTATGTTATTGTGTCAAACGTGATAACGGCTGCGACTGGATGGTTTGTGTTTCAAAGAGGAAGAATACGACAGATGGAAACTAACAAATTACAGTAGTCCTCATACATATTGTGCACAAGGAATCAATCAGGACCATCCAAACTTGGACTCCAACGTGATTTGTCAAGCCATCATGCCCTTGGTCAAAGAAAGCTCCCACATACCTATTGCAATGCTGCTTTTTGCAATACAATCTCATTATGTGTACTCCATCTCTTATAAAAAAAAATCATGGGATTCATCTTATAACGAACTACCCAGTTGGTTTAATCTGGTTCAAGGACTGAATCCTGAGACAATAGTTGAGTTCGAAACTCGCCATGTCTACCATAATGATCGAGTTCTTTGAGATCGATGCTAATTCCACCGTGTTTTTTGGACTTACTTACAATGCATTAATGCAGTGAAATACTGTAAACCTATTGTCCAAATTGATGGTACATTCTTGTATGAAAAATACAAACAAGTTTTATTATTGGCAGTTGTCCAAGATGATAATCGCAACATTCTTCCCGTTGCATTTGCCCTTGTTGAAGGAGATGATATAGAGTCTTGGGCTTTTTTCTTGAGAAATATACGGTTACATGTTATCACGAGGGAACATATTTGTATCATTTATAACCGACGAGCTGGGATCAAAACAACAATAGACTCTTTGGGTCCAATATGGAAACCCCCACACTTTCTTTATATACTACATATTGCTGCAAACTATCATGACAAATATAAGAAGAATGATGAGCGACAATTAATTATACAATTATATAATGAGTATTTTACATTTTTCCCAATTTCATTTCTCACTCATTTTCATTTTTTTATACTAACTACTTCATTTCGCTTAGGGTAAGAACTCTCATCTCAAACGTTTGAGGTTATGCTTCAAGTATTACGAGGAAAAAATGAACATGGATACAATTAAATCAGTGAAATCAACAAAGAAAAGTGGATAAACGCATACGATGATGGATGTCGATATGGACATATGACAACCAACTTGGCTAAAGTAATCAATTTAACCATAAAGGGGGATCGTCATTTACCATTAAGTGCTTTGGCTAAAACAACATATTTTCGTTTGGGTTAACTTTTTACTAAGCTCGTTGGACAAACTCTTACTCGGATACAAAACAGTTATTTTTATCACCCACAATTAGTAGCAGACCTGCAACAAAAGGTTACAACACCAAATAACATGTCCGTAATAAGCTTTTCTCACCCCCAAGAATTATTTTGGGTAACAGAAATGCCATTACCTCTGTAAGGGATTGAATCTAACTCTTTCAGAGTTAATTTACGAGATATATGTTGTGATTGTGGGTTTTTCTTTCAAGCTTTAAAGTATCCATACCATCTTGCTCATTTTCTTGTCAAGACTATAAGCGTTATGTGGATCCCGTATACCAACTTTCATAAGTACTCAAGGTATATGAATACGAGTTTCCCCCATAGGTAATGACAAAAGACTCAAATGAGGTTCAGACTTGGCTTCCAATTATACAAGATCCAGACTTATTAAAGGAGTCAGATCGTCCAAAATCCACTCGAATTCATTGTGATATGGATATTTGAGAGACATCAAGACAAAACTTAAGATGTGGTCATTGCAGAAACCCCTACCATAATAGGAGAATCTATCAATCTCTTTCATCATCACGTAACCGTTGACCACCACTCATGTAAACATATTTTCTAATGTTTCAACTTATGTTATTTCATTTTCTTTTAGTTTCAATTAAATGTTTAACGTTTATTTCTTACAATCTAACATACAATTAACTTTAACCCTAAACCCTTCTTTAAAAGAACAAACATTCTACCATGCAATCAATTTTAATCCTAAATTTCTTTAAAACCCTAAACCATACATATATAACACCATAAACCACTAAAAACCCCTAAAACCAATTACAAAACCCTAAAAATGCTTTAACATAAAAGCCTAAACCTAAAATTATCAGGCATGGAAGGTGTGTTTCCTACAACGCGCCATTTAAGGGAGGCGCGTTCCCTAGGATGCACAATTCATAATTTATGCGACACACCTTCCCTCTCCTCAGCTAAGGTGCGTATCCTTCTCTCTCCTGAAAAAATGTGTTAAATCGAAAAATATTTAGGAAGGGTGTTTGATAAGTAATACTTTTTAATAAGGTGATTTTTTTGGTCAAAATGCCGAAAACGATGACTGGTATACATATTTATATTTAGATGAGTAAACAGGGTGGTTTCTGTTTTGAAAGCTGACGGAGAGAATATTTCCCTAATTGATTGAGTTTCATGGAGATTAAAAGTCTTGCATGAGCTAAGACATTGTATCTCATTTCATAAGATCCCACGCTTTCGGTTAAGATTTTAAAATCCTTAAGATCTAATAAATGAAGGAGAATACACAGTATGAATAAAACAAAATCAAAAACAAGAAAAAGTTTTGATTTTGGGAAGGGAAATTAGTTCCTCCCAATGCCTATAGGGAGAAAGAAAGCAATACAATTTACAAGATCAATAGTGTCGTTTGCTTTGTACAAATTAGCCTTTTATGTTACTGGCAGAACATGGCACCTTGGAAGCACTAATCCCAAGTTCATCGTTAAATAAATAAATGAAGGGCAAAAGCTCAAAATTTTCTTTAACGGTAACGTATCTTAGCTTAGATTGTCTGAAATGGACTTGACCAGTCAAAGAGGAACCAACCAGTAACAGTTCTCTGCCAGCTGAGATGTTCAAACCAGTGGACTCGGTTATGGTGAACTCACTGCCACTGCCCTTTGGAACTTGAAACTTAGGGTTTGAGCGTTTAACCCTTAGATAAACCCTCAAAGAAGGGAATGAAATCCCAGAGTAGAACACGAGAGACTCTAAATTACTGTAATAAATAAACAGTTCAGTGAATATTTTTCAAAAAGACAAGGTATCCAATGACCAAACACACTGTTTTTTCCTTTGTTTTGGTGACTTTCAATATTCACGCTCCGCGTGCATGGATCTGCCTTTAACTTTTCCAAAGAGATTGTTAGCTTTGGTTGATGTTTATGTTACCTTAACTTCACCAAAATCTTTTTTAGATTTGCATTCATTATGTTTGTCTCATGAACAAACAGGAGCGACAACCTAATTCAACATCTCTGTTAAGCTCTGTTCTGTTCTGTTGTGTCTTTTATTTTTTTTACCTTTTGGACCCCAAAAATAAGACGTTCGTTAGTGTTTAGAGATTAAGAGAGAAGGGTTTTACAAGAACAACTCCATTGACAGATATGAAAGTGAATTAAAAGAACATGCATGAGGGAGAGTTCTTGCTTTGACAATGGCCAATGACTTTCATTTTGCATCATGACCATTGTAGGGCTGACTTCTACAAAACACAGAGATAAAATCAAATATTAGATAGAGTAATCTATTAAGTATTTAGATTTATGAGAGAGATAAATGTTGGCTAAAGAGATTATTTTTGCATTCTACTCCAAAAAAGTTGCGATAAAATTGTTTAACTATCTTGTTATCTGAGATAGATTATGAACAAACACCATTCATTCACATGAATTAATGAGGTAAAAAGTGGATCCTTTGTATCTATATATATGAACTAAACTTTCACTCAATATTCCTAATAGATACGGGACCATTACTGAAATGTGTCCCCTCCATCCCAAACAATTATGGCCCCTCCAATTAGCAAACATGTCCGTACATTCAAATTGACCCTTTCCTACTTTTTATCACTCTCATTGGATCATTAGATTCTACTTTAGGAACGATTTGTTAAATATTTAATTCAGTTTCATTAATGTGCGACTCTATTTAGAGTTATAATAGGTCATTGAATCATCTCTATGATTAAAATGAATGCTATTCTAATTAAATATTTTAAATATGAGTAATCGTGTTTATAGGATAAATTTATATTATTAATGATTAAAAATATTAAACACTATCTTATAAGGATTATTAAAAAAATATTTTGAACTATTCTCATTAAGCTTAAAGGTGCCTTGTAGGGTTGGGCCTATTAACTTGATAGCTATATAAATGGGCCAATGTATTTCTATACACCATGAGCATAGAGTTCAATGGCCCAATGTTGCAACCTCTTTTACTCCTTTAAAAATATCATTCATTCGAACTTTTCATCGAACAAGTAGCGAGCGAACTTTGCCCAAAAAAAAAAAATATCCACGCCGCCTATAAGCAAGGCCGTCAAAAGTAACATTCAAGATGCCTTCCCTTTCTCAACGCCAACCGTTATCGTCTGATTCTTATTCTTTTCTCATTATATATGTGGTAGAAATTTTGAGTCATTTGATTTACCACTTTTTGTTTTTTGGGTCCTGACAGTTGCTATGAAGGGGAACAGTTTGTTCATGTGCTTAAATCAATCCAAAGGTAAATGAACTCAAATCAACTTATCGATGATTAAGAAAACAACCCTTTTTCGCAATTCAACTACTTGATAACTCTAACTACTTTCAATGAACAGAGGGATAGAGTCAGCGAGAGTATTGACCGGAAACTCCTTGCCTGAGAAAGTGTGGCTTAAGGTTTGATGTCTTGCCCAATGCTTTATTGAATTTGATTTGATTAATCTCGTGGGTTTATTATTGATCTGATTGTAGTATTTGTGGCATTAGCAACAATTTGCAATTGGTGTTAATGATGTAACCCGTGTACCTGAACGGATGGCACACATCTCCGACGAGGGATGCACTGCCCCATCTCCTTGTGTTAAGCTTCAGGTTGGCCAACCTGTTTTTACCTCTGGTGTTTGAAGTAATCTCTCGTGTTTTAATAACAAGCTTTAGTTAGTTTGTTTATTTGCTATATGTTTGTTGCGTTGATAGGCTATTTTGTTAGCTGGTGATTGCAATCCAATGTGGCTGACGAAGCACCTACCCATGTTGGCTAAATCCAGAAAGGTGCCATTGATCATTGTTGGAGATGATAAAAAGGGTTCCTTAAGATTGGGTGAGCTTGTAAAGCTAAAAACAGCAATTGCAATTGGAGTAAATGTAAGGAGTCTGGGATTTGCAGATTGTTCTTATATCATTTGGGTGGGTATTGACAATGTGCTGAATTATTTGTCTTTTTTTAGGCTCGAGGAAGTGCTATCAATCGAATAACGGAAGGAGTTCTTGATGGTAATAAACCGAATCGAGGAGCAGTGCTTCAAGTTGAATGACTTGCCTGTTGTTTTGTTAGCTGATTGATTATAGCAAATACAAAATGATTTCTGTTATCTGAGAGTTAAGTTGTTTTCCATCACATTTCCAAATATGAATATGAAAATATGATCTTCACCTTCTTTACTCTCTTGTTCTTTCTTTATTCTTCCTCTTGGAACAGCAGCTCTCTTTCCTCCTTTCCATAGGTTTGTTTCTGGATATGTTACGGATTTGTTTGTTCGTGTTCAAATTGACCCGGTTTTCATGCAAGAAAAAAAATTGCTCGCTACCAAAGCATTTTCAGCTAATAATGTGAATAATGATGAACTTTATAGTTACTATCAAGTATAGTTGTTTATTTGAAGCTTAAAAGAGGGAGAGAGAACAAGAAAATGAATTTTTTTTAATAAAAAGCAACTCCCTTAGAGGAATTTTAACCATGGGGAAAGCGTTAAACATCTCTTAGACTGGTTCTGGTAGCATTGCGTTCAAACTCCGAATCCAATCACAGAAGCTGGGATCGTCAAAATGAATGAAACTGTTTTTCAGTTTCGTCCTTTGTTCTGTTGTAAGGGTTTGAAGCTGTGGAAATCTTGCCTCCTGCACAAGTTTTCACGCCATAGTTAATTGTTCTCTGAATACATTTACTTTTCAGTAAAATACAGATTATGACTAAAACCCAAAAGGCTTTGCCTTTATTTTTTTTTCTTAACTGCTCGTAAGGTGGATCCTTGTGCGCTGGTAACCGAGAAACAAAATATCGAGCCTGAGAGCTCCCCTCCTGCAACAAAACCTCATCATCTTTTCCTTTGGTGGTTAAGAAGAAGAACAAAAAGAAAAGTTGGAACAAATCAAGAGGGAAAAAACCTTAAACACAAGGATTTGAGAAGCTGTAAATCATAACTCCGTGAGCTCTTCAGCCAATGTTCTACAAGCTGCCAAAGCTGCAGCACTTCTTGCTTCATCAGCTGCAAGTTCAGCACCCTGAACCAGCAGTTGAGAGGAAGATGCTCACAATTGTCCCAGAAATAAATAAATAAACAAACAAATGTAGAACACTGAAAACGTAAATGCAGACCATCCAGGGTCAGATTGTCACAGGGTATGCATCTATATAATTTACAAAGTGATTATAATATAGACATCAGACATGTTAGATGGATGAAACAGCTATGATCGTATTTACTTTCTGCATTTAGTAGCTTCACACTAGAAAGCTTTTTTTCTTCTTCTTCCAAGTTTCTATTAGAGCGGGCCAGCATGTTTTTTTCAACAGTTCGGATATTACAAAAAGAAACGTAATTCTGAACAATAACAAAGCATGACTCTATTCATGAGTGGCATAGGAAGAAATGCCTAAAGGTCTTAGCTTGGCACTAGCTTTCAGACTCTATGTAAAGTCTTCGATCTCGTGTTCAGTCACACTTTGAAAACAGGACGACATACAGAACAAACATGCATGCCAGGATCCACGGTCAAAGATGAACAAAATAGAAGCAAATATTGCAGATATACAAGACAGCTAAAACATGGTTTAATTTACATACCAGCCAAATGAAGACATCTGTACCATGGTCTAGAACAACCGCTGTATCAGACTGTATAACAAGATCATAAGCTGGCAATTCTTCAAATGTGCCTCCTTCCTGATGCATCAGACAGTGAGGGGCAACCATGAGAAGTGAAAGATCAAGGGACGCATTCAAAAACAAATTTCGTAATACAGATCTCTCATCCTCATGTCCAACTATATTTCCCAACAATGGTCCCCGCCTAAGATGGAACAGAATCTCTGGTAGTAGAGAGATTTCCTTTGGGAACCAATGAAGCTTTGACTTCGGCGCTTGAGAGCTAAATTTTAGAGCAATGTCTTTAACTCTTTCATCTATTGTTGTACGCATATCAATTGCATCGGAATAGCTTTTTGCTCCCAAGAGAGTCCTCTTGGCAATTAGGACAGCAGCCACCCCATCTTCAACACTTTGAAGAAACTCTGGAACACTATCAACAGTTGGCAATCTGATAGTTACCACTCTAGTTATATCTGCTTGATAAACATTTGTGTAATGAAAAAAAACTGGAAAAAACGAAATCACTCTTGATGTTATGCTTATTCTCCATCAATATCGAGAAGCATTGTGTTTCTTCAACACTCGCCATTTGAATACAGAGAGAAATATCATTCTTAAAGGTTTCATGGGTATCTATACGAGCCTCTTCACCAGGACCCACAACCTGAGTAATAAGAATATCATCAGAACAGCGTATCTCCAACAAACCATGGGAACCAGCAGCCCTGACAGATGCCCTTTGTAAGTTCATACCAAAGGTTTCACTGAAATCATCATGAAGAACAAAAACACCCCCTGAAGCTTTCGCAAGAGGCAGCAGCACAGGAACCCTTACAGGGCAAGTTCCAGCACAGAGAATGTCAACCACTGTGTTTTGTTGATGAGCCTCACGACCAAGATGCTCCATCCATTTTAGTGCACTATTTTCCTTATGAGGATAATTAGGGTGAGTATAAGAATAAGGGACAGATCCAGGGCCATAAGTGTTTGGTCTACCAGCGCATACAATGATTCTGCTGCTAACACCTGGCCTTTTAACTACACCTCGAGAAAAATCTGCAAATGGCCCTTGAATAATAGCCAGAGCAACCTTAACCGCAGCACCCAGCACCTATCTCTTGATGCTTCTGGAACAGTCAACTTGTATGGCCTCAATGACGAGAATATCAGGTGTGCCACCTCTATTGAAGCATGCATTGGAGACAAGTTTACACCTGTTCCGTAAATCAATGCTTTCAACGTCTCCTGATTTGGTGAAGAGCCACCTGGAATCACATCAGCTGACGCAATGGATTCCTCTGAAAAGTCATAGACTGATACTGTGCGACAACGAATCAACAAATGCATGCAGGGAGCTCTGTAAATGCTGAAGGTGTGGCTCATCTAAACATTCACCAATGACAAGAACAACCATCACAGAAGTTATCAAATCAGTAACTGGAACAAAATATGGTCTCTTATTCCTGGTTGAATGAAATCAACCAAAGGTGATGACAACTCAGGAAAATGACGAAGCTCTACCTTGCTCAATGCTATGTATTCACCTTCACTTCCATTTAGATTCCCGCAGATTACACACTGCCATTGCCCTGAGCCAATTAGTATGTTAGAATATAGATTTGAATATGCTCCACAGTCAAGGCATCGATGAGAATCCCGTTGTACTACTTGGGGACCTGGTAAAGTCTCCCTCCCGGGAGACACCAATACTCCAAAACCTAAACTAAGTACATTGGCTTGTTTCTTGTGTTTGAGCACCTGACACAAAATAAATGGAAGAGTACAAATCAATTATAGATAGAAATAGAGCATATAACTGCAGAGATTAACAGGCTGTAAAATTCAATAACATGTACATAATCATAAAATCAACATTATGAGCAGAGAAAAAGAGATACCTTATGAGCAGAGAATAAAACGCATGGCGACTTTCCATTGGGCACAGGTTCCTATTCAGCACTGGGAAGTTGTTGTACCTCCACCGACCCATTCGAAAAATATGGTGGTGAAAATGTGGGTAAATATGAGCCAGATGAGACATCAATTTGCTGAGGAGTTGCAGGAGAGGTTCGGAAAGGCATAGCAGCAGGCCGAACCGGTGATGTGAATACAGGAGGGGCAGGGGGAGTACTCAGATGGCGAACAGAGCTTCCTGTTTTGACCCCATTCGCAGGTGAAAGCATAGTTGGATATTTTATTGAAGAGGAAGGGACCTGATCTTGTTGTAAATTAGGCAGAGGAAATGTAGGTGCTCCAGGGGAGATTGTGGGAGGAGCAGGAGCAATTAGACTTTTGTCAGGTTTAGACGAAAGAGGATCCATTATTGCAATTGAAGATTGCACTTAATTGAATACAATGCCAATCGAATTCCACCTCTTGGAAAGAATCAAACGTGCAGGATTAAAGCGTTTGCGAATAACTCACCAGCAAAAGCCGAAAGAAAACCTTAAAACCCCATAAACAAACAAAGAACAAGATTGGATTTTGAAGGAAACACGACTCAAGATATCCACATTAAATGCAAGAATTGGATCGAGATTCAAGAATGCTCCAAAAACTCACCACAATTCACCTCACGAGATAAAAGAAATAAAAAAAATGGGAATTTGATCACTTGGCTCTCTATCTTCACCTCAATCCAAGCTTCGATAAAATCCCTTCTTTCAAATTCCAACCTAAATCAAAATTAAAAAAACTTGCAAAATGCTTTATACGGAATGAATAGGTAATTTCTTCGACATTGTTGCATGTTGGATTTTGTTTTGTGCAGGGATTTCTGCTAATAAATATTTACTTGTCTGCTTAAAGATAATTGTTGCCACCATCTTTAATGATAGCATTTATGAATAGGTGATTTCTTTGACACTGCTGTCTGCCTAAATATTATTTTTGTTCATGTAGAAAGAGAGTACTATGCTCCAAGTCTATTGCTCATTTAAACTGATTTCAGAAACTAATCAAGCAACTAAATAGTCTTTTGTATGATGTTTTTCAATAACCTAAGATAGTATCTATTGAAAATTTACAGCACATTCTTAATCAATTGATTGATACATTTTGTAAATATAAATTGTAAATTGATTAATATATTTCGTAGATATAAAATGTGTTCTAACATAAAAAATTAGCTGACCTTATTCCCATATGCAATGGGGTAATGGGGAGGTAGAGTAGTAGACTGCCCCCAACGCTAGGTTGAGAGCAACTTCCGTGGAAGACTTCAGGCAACTACCATATGTTCTAACATAAATATTTCAAAGAAAATATTTCTAAATGTAGATACAAAATGTTCCAACTTAAATACACTAAAAAATACTTTTAATATAATATTTGTTCAAAGATTTTAACCGTTTGACATTAAATGCTTATATCCCTAATATTTATAGTGTTTAAATTCACTCATACCACTATTATTCACAGTGCTCAAATTTGAGATTTATCAATAATTCTTTTACTACAAATAATATCAATATTTCTTTTGCTACTGAATTTACTTGACTTGAAAAAAAACAATTTTTTACGACTAAAACCATTTAATGGATTAGTTCTTTGTTATGTTTTGAATGTTCAACGGAAGAAAAGTCTTGTGTAATGTTTGGTTTTATGTTTTAAACGTGCAGCTAAATAAAGTTTTCGTGTCATGTTTCAAGTGTGCACTTTTCTTTTGTTACTGAGTGGCCAAAAGAATCCGTGTATCGAGTAGGTCTTTGTCCTCTAAACAGGTTCTCCATGAAATATAATATCAGAACCAGGGAGGAGACGGGACGAGGATAACCGATCAGGAGAACGGAAAGAAAGAAATGATGCCGTTGTTGGCACAATATTCATAGAACAAACTAAAAATCTCAAGCTGCATTTGACATTACTGCTTAAAACTGAAAGATGAAAGCATTTTTACATTTTTCAACTAGATCCTATAGCACATAAACTATAGTTCCTCTTCACACTAATCCATAACAATAATAATCAAAGAATGAAACAAAATGAAGACTCAAGATGAGAGCATCAAGCATTCATCATCTATGTCCTTGCCCAAAAGATTTGCCACTATCAAATCAACATCTTGCAACCCAACACCAGTGCATGTAGGATTGATCCCAAGCCTAACAGAGGCTTCATTGATTCTTGAAGCAGTTTCGCTTTGGTTGTTCGAGACCCTCACATTTGGAGCGGTCCTGCACTTCCCCATGCATTTGCAGGCAACAACGGTGCCTTCTGCACCCACCTTCTTTTCAAACTCTTCTAACAATGCAGGAGCTCCCAGCTTCTTGCACTTTCCACCCATGCAAACTTCAATCTTCTTGGTTGATGATGTCCCTTCCAAGCCATTTGAGCTGCTGCTGCTGCAACATTCACCATCGAAACCGATACAAGGAACTCGAACTTGAATCTGGGGGATCAAATCCGAGTTTTCGAGCTCCAAAAGAGAGCTAGCTTGTGTTGAATCCTCTGCCACCGTTGGTGCTTCTGTTGGTGGCCCTATCTCGAGGGATGGTTTCAAAGCATTGTTTCTCAGGGCTTTCATATCAACTACCTCCCCACATTCGCTTTCACTTGACTCAGAGGAAGAAGAAGATGACGATGACTCTGATTTCACCAAAGCTGCTTTGAGCTGAGCTCGTTCCTCTTTCAATTTTCTCTTTAATACCTTTTGTTCTGATTTCAACTTTTGCAGTTGTGCCAACAAAACATCACTTGCTTCCTGGAAAAAACAGAACAACATTTAAGGTTTCGAATTCAATCCAATATTATCAAAAAGCCTAATTCAATTTGTTAAACAACTTTCATACAAAGGATCAGAGTTCAGTTAAAGTCAATTAAAGAGGAAGTAAATTGTTTTATCAGGTCAAGAACCAGATCTAACCGATAACAAAAACAGAAGTAGAAACCGGAACGGAAAATTAATCTCTTTACCTGAATCATCGTCACCTTAACTTCAGCGGCCAATCCGATCCTAATATCCTCACCGGAAGCAATCTCTGGAAGCATGGACAAGTCCTTGGACAATCTCTTCATAAGCTTCAACTTCTTCTTGACTCTCCTGATATCGGAGTTTTTTCCCTTGTCTTTCTTCGTGGCGGCGCCTCCACCACAACCACCACTCCTCGGCGACACATAATACTCGACATGCCCTGAATCAAAAAACTGGAAACTCAATCTCCTGCAAGATTTGTCCCTCGGCCTAACCGAAATCCTAGAACCTCCAACACCAAGATTCAACTCTCCGGTAAACCGTCGGCCGAAATCAAACCTTGCCGCCGGCAGCCTTGAAACCGTCCTGCAAGAAATGACAGAGGTCTCCATGGCGTGAATCCTATGGTATTGATTTCCGTTTAGCTTTGAAAAGAATATGGGATTGAATTGAAGGAAAAGCGATTTCATATATTGAAATATACGTTCCTTCAACGGTTTCGGTTTCTTGGAAGGGAAGAGAGTTGTATACGTGTCACGCTATTAACGGTTGGATTAAATCTAAATGTGACGTGTCAGTGTTATTGCGCTCGGCGGTGGCGCGCTCGTGAGGAATTCGGTTTGCCACGCTCTACGTACACTTTTACATGCGTTTCTTTTGAATATCAGCGGTTCGATGAGCTCATACGATTAAATACGGTTTAGATTTTACCACATCATCGTTGCTTTTCTGCTGAGTGGCAGGACAGTTGTCTCTTTTTCATGCAGGCGTAACCGAGCACCTCGTGTCCTTATTGAGAAATAAAAAATTCCCTGAAAAATAGTAAAAAGAGACGGCCAAGGAAACCTGGCGGCGATTTTTTGGAGGAATATCCGGGTATGTTCAATTATGACTAAGATTAATTTTAAATAATTACTACTAATCAATTTCTAATAAAGTCTGAAATAATTTAGTACTACTCAATTTCTAAAATGGTTTATATAATAAACAAGTATTTAAAATATATTATTTTTATTTAAGTATTTAAAATATTTAATTTTTATTTAGATATTTAAAGTATTTTTAATTAAAATAAATATGTAAAATTATTATTTTATCAAAATAAGTACTTAAAATATTTTTTTAATTAAAATATATATATATATATAATGTTCAATTTTTTCATCTAAACAATTATACCAAGACTTATGTTTAGAGTTTTCCCTCTTAAATTAAAATGTTTTAATTTTTCCCTTTTTACCATTTTTCCATCTAAATTCATTTTAATTTAAATTATATTTCCTTATTTATTTGTTTTCATTCACTTGCTTTTCATTTCCTTCTTATTTTGCATTTTGGTAACTTCCCGTAACTTCCTCCATTTTCTCTCATTGTTCTCCCAAACAAGCTGATCAATTCTTTCTTTTTTTCTTCTTGATTTCTAAATTCACTCATCTTAATTTTGATTTTAATTCTCAAGTTTCTCTTCTCTTCTTGTTTTAAAGGTTGATCATAATGGAGTTCCATTGATGATCTCAATTTCAATATAGTTTTCAGCAAGGTAAGGATTTTTTTTCTTTGGTTTTCATTCAAGCTTTGAGGGCAAATGACTAAGTGTTAATGATTCTATTGAATTGATGATTAATTGAAAGGATTTCTAAGATTTTAATTGATTTTTGGAGCCATTAATATGCTGATTTCTTGAATTTATTTTGAGATTTTCTTAATGAAAATAAGTTGTTTTGGAGTGATTATAATCATATTAAATCAGTTTTTCAATTGCAAATGATTTGTATATTGATTTCTTGAAAACAATGTTAATTTTCGGTATTTTTGGGAATCCGAGAATTTAGGTTTGTAGATGTTGTTTTGTGTGGTTCTACCTGAGTTAGATGTTGATTATAGTTTTTGTTTATCAATTTTTAGTGTGGAGATTCGTGCGTTTCGGTTTGGAGCTTCCAAAGTGACGTTTCAGTAATGTTTTCGGCGTTTGCATTCTGTTTTGGAAACAGAGGATTCTGCTTTGTTTTAGATTAGATTTTGATGTGTTCATTTGTTTTTGCAAGGTTCTTCTTGTGTTGTTGGTTGAGGAAACTTGGTGTTTTGAGTTTGGTGAACGTTGAGGTAGTGTTTGGAAGCGTTTTCGGTTTCCGAACAACAAGGTGAGTGGCTCTCATTCTTAGGAAATGAACATGATTAAAGGTTGAGGTTTGTGTAGTGTTTCATTTGTTAATTCATATATATATATATATATATATATATATATATATATATATTGTGTTATTTGGTTAATTATGATGATGGAATATGAATTGTGTTGATTTACATACAATGACACTTATATTGGAAATGAGAATGTGAGTTGTGAATGTGATGTGTTGCGAATGATGCATAGGATTTTGGAAATGGTTTTGTGAATATATATATATATATATATATTGAATGTGAATTGGATGAGCTTAACTTTCTCACTGCCCAAATATGCGGGTTGATCATGACAACCAAATCCGTAAGTGTGTTCCAAAGTGTATTTGAATCAATATATGAAAACTATGCATCATTGACAACCACTATTGGTTAATTGAATTAATTGGCTATTTTTCTTAAAAGGACCTTTGGATATGAAAAGTATGCATAGGAAATAGTACTTTATGTGTTTTTTATTAGAATGTGATTCGGGATTATACGGGGTTCAGATGGTTCGTTGAGCTTTGCTCCAAGAAGATATGGGGTAAGGTTGGGCGTTGAGTTTACTCCGTAATTCATGATTTTGGATCTATCTGAGTCCTTAAGTAAAATGAGAGTTGTATGGAGTTCGTTTATCCTATGAGTGAGTTGTGTTTCGAACAAAAGCCATTGATCTTAAAATAGAAAGATGTGTGTAATTGTGTGACTTATCAAGGAAGGTATTTGTGCATATGTGCTTGTGATTGCTTTTGAACTATATGGTCATTTGATGTTTGTTTAATCTGGAAATCAAATGATTTGGAAAATATTATCTAATAATTCAAGTATGAGGTGTAGAATTATATGTGTGGAGTAAGGAACAAGTTACGTGTTAACATATAGGATTGATCTTTATCTTGTTATGTGCATTGCTTTGAATGTTAGTCGTTCACTGGGCTTTATAAACTCACACTTGTTGTTAACATTTTTTAGAGGATTAGAGGCGAGGAGCTTGGAATATATGTGATCAAGTAAGGCTAATGCATACAGATTTAACACCATAGAGGTCAAGAAGGGTCAAAAAAAGAAGGGGTTGATGTTCGTTGACATCAACATTGCTGGCCAGAAATTGAGTGCACTAGTGGACACAGGTGCCTCAGAGTTGTTCATGTCTGAACAAGTTGCCAAGAAACTTGGCCTTCATGTGGAGAAAACAAGTGGTTTTATCAAAATTGTTAACGCCGAAGAAGTTCCAATTGCGGGGGTCGCGAAGGGAATTGAGTTAACCATTGGAGGTTGGTCCAGCAGGGAAGCCATCAAGGTGATTCCTCTTGATGACTTTGACTTTGTGCTTGGGTTGAGTTTCTTGGACCGAATCAATGTTTTCCCTGCTCCTTTTGTCGATTGTTTGTGCATCCTAGATCCAAAGTAGCAGTGCATTGTTCTAGTGAACCGAGAGTCCAGAGTAGGGGCAAAAGTTCTGTCATCAATTCAATTCTCTAAGGCAATGCGTAAAAAGGAGCCGACCTTCTTGGTTATCTTGGTGTATGAGGAGACAACCACAATCAAGAAAGTTTCTGACGTGGTGAGTCACATTTTGGCAGTATTCAAATATGTGATGTCTGTCGAGTTACCTAAGAAGAGGGAGGTAGATCACAAGATTCAGTTTGTGTCGAAATCGGAGCCACCCGCTCGAGCCCCTTTCCGAATGGATCTGCTAGAGTTAGAGAAGATGCGTAGATAGTTGAAAGATCTCCTTTATGTTGGATACATACGACCATCCAAGTCCCCCTATGATGCACCGATGTTGTTTCAAAAGAAGCATGATGGTTCTTTGTGGATGTGCATCGATTACCGGGCTTTAAATAAACTCACGGTGAAGAACAAGTACCCAATTTCTCTCATTACGGACTTGTTTGATCATCTTGGTGATGCAAGGTGGTTCACCAAGTTAGATTTATGATCAGACTATTACCAAGTCAGGATAACCGAGGGAGATGATCTGAAGACAGCCTGTGTGACTGAGTACGATTCCTATGAGTACCTTGTGATGCCTTTTGGCCTCACGAATGCTCCTGTCACTTTCTGCACCTTGATGAACAAGGTGTTGCAACTCTTTTTGGGTCAGTTCGTTGTAGTTTACCTCGAAGACATCGTTATATATAGCAAGACGTTGGAGGAGCGTGTTGAACACTTAAAGCAAGTTCTCTTAGTTTTGTGAGAGAATGAGCTCTTTTTTAAAGAAGATAAGTGTTTTTTTACAAAAAAAAAGAGGTTTCCTTCCTTGGCCACATTATTGGAGGTGGCAAGATCTGGATGGATATGGACAATATTTGAGCCATTGACGAATGGGAGGTGTCAACCAAGGTGATGGAGCTGAGGTCATTCATGGGATTGACCAACTATTATTGGAGGTTTGTCAGGGGTTACTCAAAAATCACTGTCCCATTGACCGAGTTATTGAAGAAAAATAAGGCGTGGGATTGGGGCCCAAAGTGTCAAAGTGACTTTGACGAAATCAAGCTTGCTATGGTAAGCGAGCCAGTTTTGGTGTTGAAATATCACACCAAGCCATTTGAGGTATTCACCGATGCATCCAACGTTGCCATTGGTGGGGTCTTGATGCAAGAAGGACATCCGATTTCTTATGAAAGTCGGAAGCTCAATGAGTCCGAGAGGAGATACATGGTCCATGAGAAAGACATGACTATCGTTGTGCACTGTTTACGCATATGACAATATTATTTTCTTAGGTCCAAGTTTGTGGTGTTTGCAGACAATGTTGCCAATAATTACTTCTTAACCTAGAAGAAGTTATCACCGAAGCAGGCTCGTTGGAAAGAGAAAGTGAATTCTGTGGTTGATGCCTTAAGCCGAAGGTATGACATAGAGCTTGTGAGTCTACCGATGGGACGGATACGTGAGCGCATCAATGAGGGGTTGTCATATGATCCGATGGCTACTTCAATGAGCGCATCAATGTGAGTTTCACTCGAAAGTTTTGGCTTGATGAAGGCTTGTTGTATGCTCAAGGAAACCGTCTCTATGTTCCACAATTTGAAGGATTGTGAAATAAGCTCATGAAAGAATGCCATGATTCCAAGTGGGCGGGGCATCTGGGGTTCCACCGGACTTTGGCCTTGATAGCATAACATTATTATTGGCCGCACATGGGCAGTGATGTTGAGGCCTATATGAAGACTTATCTTGTGTGCCAGCACAATGTAGAGCAGAGGAGACCAGCTGGGTTGTTGTAGCCTCTGTCAATCCTCGAAGGACCATGAGAAAGTCTTTCCATGGATTTCATTGTCAGTTTGTAA